CCTATTCGCGGGCCCTTAACAATTTGGTATAAGAGCAATGCGTCATGGGTGACTTTGAGCAATTGAAGACTAGGGTTCATGATCTGGAGCACAAACTCATGGAAAATAGCAAGGAGGTGCGCGAGATCAAGGATGGCGTCCGAGAATTGAGGCGCTTGATGGAGTTATATTTTTCCAGCATGGAAAAGAGTTCAGAAGGGGCTGCAACCACAGACGGCCGCCAACCAGACATGGCAGAATCGTCAGGCGAGCAACAGGTCGTTGCCCAGGGAACCACGATCATTCCCAAATATAGCAGGCTAGAATTTCCTTCCTACAATGGAGCTGGAGATCCTTTGGGATGGCTGTACAGATGTGAGCAATTTTTCCGCAACCAACAGACAGAGAACAGGGACAAGGTCAAATTAGTCGCATTCCACATGACAGAGGAGGCGCAACTCTGGTTTTATAGATTGGAGCAGGAGAAACTAGGGCTCAGTTGGACCCAATTCAAATCCTACTGTCTTCTTAGATTTGGGCCCCCATTAACAAGCAATCCATTAGGCGAACTAATTAACCTCAAACAGACTGGAATTGTGGCCAAGTATCAGCGTCAGTTTCAGACCCTCCTTGCAAGAGCATCTTCGGTACGACCAGATCAACAGGTTGACATGTTCTCCGCGAGATTAATGGAAACTTTGAGGGTGGATGTGGAGATGCAAAATCCCCCCAATCTGGTTACTGCTATGAATTTGGATCGAGCTTTTGAACGAAAATTACAACTCAACCGCGGAAGTATCAGTATAGGGCGGCCTCAAACAACATGGACAGCCCCGAAACAACTCGGAATGGCTCCATCTTCAGCAGCCAGCCGAGAACAGAAACCACAGACGAGCAACAATTCCAAATCAGCATCCAGTGTGGGCAACAACGTTGTTGCACCCCCTATTAAGTGCTTGTCCAGGGCTGAGATGGCAGAACACAGGGCGAGGGGACAGTGTTTTAATTGTGATGAACTTTTACTTAGCAGGGCACAAATGCAAGAGACTTTTCTGCCTCTTGGTGGATGAACAAGAGGARGATGAGGATGAACCCTCYYCATTGGAACCCGAGATTTCTCTCCACGCAATTACTGGAATAAAAACCTCTCAAACTATGCAGTTGCAAGCGCGGGTAGCAGGGAAACCAATACCGATCCTTGTTGATTCAAGAAGCACACACAATTTTGTAAGTGAACAAGCTGCCCACCAGTTGGAACTGCCAATGGAAATCAAACCGAGACGGCAGGTAGCTGTAGCAAACAAAGAAAGAGTACACAGCTCGGGCATCTATAAGGGAGTCCAAATACAGGTCAATTCTGAATCCTTCTTTGCTGATTTGTTTTTGCTATCGTTGGATGGATTTGATGTAGTTCTTGGGGTGAAATGGTTGATCACTCTAGGCCCAATCCTATGGGATTTCAACGCCCTAATGATGACCTTTCACTTGAATGGAAAGCAAGTCACTTGGCAGGGTAAAGTGGTGAAGGCCAAATACCCGCAGGTTCATCTGCTCCAAGATGAAATGACACACACAACAACCATGGAAAGGCTCCTTGCTAATTTTTCTGATATATTCCAAGAACCCAAAGGAATTCCTCCTTCCCGAGCTTGCGATCACCGAATCACTCTGGTGACGGGTTCAGAACCAGTAGTAGTAAGGTCATATCGCTACCCACACCTGTAGAAAGATGAGATAGAAAGGCAATGTGATGAAATGCTAGAGCAGGGGATCATCCGCCTTAGTCGCTCCCCTTTTTCTTCCCTGGTTCTGTTGGTGGCAAAGCGGGATGGTACTTGGAGATTTTGTGTTGACTATAGGGAGCTTAATAACTGGACTGTCAAGGATAAATTTCCTATTCCCATTGTGGACGAGTTGTTAGATGAACTCCATGGTGCCTAGTATTTCACAAAACTAGATCTAAGATCGGGGTACTTTCAAGTTCAAATGGCTTCCGAAGACGTTGAGAAGACTGTCTTCCGAACTCATCATGGCCACTTTGAGTTTTTAGTTATGTCGTTCGGTCTCACAAACGCCCCATCCACATTTCAGTCCTTAATGAATAAGGTATTTCAGTCCCACCTTCGCAAATTTGTTTTAGTATTCTTTGGCGACATTTTGGTTTACAGTAAAACATAGATAGAACACGTGCATCATCTAAGGATTGTTTTTGAGCTACTACGCCAACACAAGCTCTTCCTTAAACAATCCAAGTGCTCCTTTGCAGAGCGCCAGGTCCTTTACTTGGATCATGTCATTAACGACAAGGGTGTAACAGTGGATAACTCAAAAATTGAAGCGATCAAAGAATGGCCCAAGCCCAAATCCGCCAAGGCTCTACGCGGGTTCCTCGGTTTGATAGGATATTACCGCAAATTTGTACAGAATTATGGCGTGATAGCTGCCCCATTAACCAACCTGCTGAGGAAGAATGCCTTTCATTGGGACAATGCAACTAACACGGCTTTTGCAAATTTAAAGAATGCCCTCTCCACCACTTCAGTTTTGCGATTACCGAACTTTGATCTTAAGTTTACAGTTGAGTGTGATGCATCCGGAATAGGGATTGGCGCCGTATTACAGCAACAGGGGTACCCAATTGCTTTCTTCAGCCGTAAACTAGCTGATCGTCATTTGAAATTGCCAGCCTATGAACGTGAATTGATTGGGTTAGCTAGAGGAGTCCAACATTGGAGACCATACTTGTGGGGAAGATCATTTGTTGTCAAAACTGATCACTATAGCCTCAAGTACTTGTTGGAGCAGCGACTTATTACTTCTCCCCAACAACATTGGGTTAGAAAGCTACTTGGGTTTGACTTCCGGGTGGATTACAAGGCAGGATCCTTAAGTCGCGCTACAGATGCATTGCCTAGGTGTGAAGAGGATACTATGCTCCTTTGTGGGATTTCACGTCCTTGAGTCACCTTATTGGATGACATCAAGAAAGAGATGCCACAATCACCAGAGTGGATGACTCTTGTTTAGAAAATTCAGTCTGGAACTGCAGACTCCAATTGGGCCCTTATAGATGGGCTTGTGCTGTATAAGGGTCAGATATATCTCCCGACTAATTCTTCTTTAATTCCCTCCATCATCTCTAGTATTCATAACTCCACCCATGAAGGCATTCAGAAAACACTGTATCGCGTCCAAGYTGATTTCCATTGGCAAGGTATGAAGGCCTCTATTAGGGACTTTATACAAAACTGCTCTATTTGTCAACAACACAAATGGGAAAATTTGCATCCAACAGGTCTTCTTCAGCCTCTTTCGATCCCAACGCAGATATGGGCTGATATTTCCATGGACTTCATAGAGGGACTGCCCAAGGTTGGGGGAAAATCAGTTCTTTATGTAGTTGTGGATCGCTTCTCTAAGTACGCCCTTTTCATCCCTCTTTCTCATCCATACAACGCTACTTTTGTCGCCCATGTCTTTTTCACACATTTTTTGTTTACATAGGTTACTGGAATCTATTGTCAGCGACAGGGACCCGGTTTCTACTAGTACCTTTTGGAGGGAATTGTTTCGGTTAAATGGTACCACCTTAGCCTTTTCTTCCTCTTATCATCCTCAATCAGATGGTCAAACTGAGGTGGTGAATCGAACGATTGAGATGTATCTCCATTGCATTGTTGGGGATCAACCGAGACAGTGGGTTGATTGGCTTCCTTGGGTCGAGTATTGTTATAACACTGTTATCATTCTTCTTTAGGAATGGCACCATTCAGAGTTGTCTATGGCCGTGAACCTCCTCGTTTGCTGTCCTATGAAACAGGTGCTACTCGTTTGGAGGAGATTGATCGTTCCTTACAAGAACGAGATGCTCTTTTGGCTGAAATTTCTCTTCGTTTACAACAGGCACAACTCTGCATGAAGCAAGCCTATGACCAACATCATCGGGAATTGTCATTTGAACCTGGGCAGATTGTTTGGTTGAAACTTTAGCCTTATTGTCAACGCTCTTTGAGTCACAGGGCTGTTCCTAAATTAGCCCCTAAGTTCTATGGGCCTTTCAAGGTTTTGAAGCAAATTGGTGAGGTTGCATATAAGTTGGAACTTCCAGAGCACAGTAGGATCCATGATGTTTTCCCCATTTCCTTGCTCAAGCCGTTTAAGGGTGTTCCTCCTATCAGTGTTCTCTCCTTACCACCTTTGAAGGAGGGCAAAATCATTCTGCAACCTCAATCTATTGTTCGTTCCAAAATTAATCGAGGTGTTGTTGAAGTTCTGGTGGAATGGGCTAGCTTACCATTGGCTGAAACTACTTGGAATCCCTTGACTGTGTTCCAAGACACCTATCCTGAATTCGAGCTTGAGGACAAGCTCTTAGTCCAGGAGGGGAGTAATATTGTGAATGCTTTTATTGGAAAGAAATACAGCCGCAGACAACAACAGTAATGGGCGTCAAATTCAATGTTCCTATCTTATCTCTTAGCTAATTTCAATGTTCCTATCTTATCTCTTAGCTAAATTCAGTGTTCCTATCGTATCTCTTAACTACATTCAGTATTCCTATCTTATCTCTTAACTAGACGCAGTGTTCCTATTTAATAGCATTATTATCTCTTATTTAAAGATAAATGTTTGTTAGGAAGCTTTCCTAAAGAATGACTCTTGTAATTTCCTATTTAAAGGAGCAGATGGTATTCAATAAAATTATCGATATTTTCAATCAAGAAAGAGCAGAGAAGAGTTGGTGATCTCTTTAACAAATCACCATTAAGGCGCTAAAGATAGGTTCCTTGAGAAAAGAGAGAAATAAGGAAAAACATGAAGTTTTCCCCATTAACCGACCAGTGACAAGATCCTATTCGCGGGCCCTTAACATAGTTTGGCCCCTTGACAGACAGAAATCCTAGACACTGTTAACATGGCAGATCAGCTATCCACACATACCCATAAGACACTACAGCCGCACATCGGGGACATCTCAGTTGTATTGTATGTAAAAGATCTGCACTCGTTAACATGCAAGATAATTTTAACAAATTGATGAAGAAATGAATGTGGAAGAAATGCTTATTCTGAGATGTGTGAATGGAAAAACTAAAAAAGACGGAGCAAATCAGCCATGAACAATGTAAAATTGGACATCCATGCAAGATTGATGAAGAATTACAAAGATGTCCCCCAGTGGTGGTTCCTCATCCTGTTGGTAGGTAGTGTTGGATTATCTCTGTTGATGACTTTTGTGTGGAAAGAAGAAGTGCAGCTGCCCTGGTAGGGGATGCTTTTTGCATTTGTCTTGGCTTTGGGTTCTTACCCTCCCTATTGGAGTCATTCAAGCAACTACCAATAGTAGGACTTGGCCTGCTGCAAACATAAACGTTGAACTTCTTGAAGCATTCAAATGACACAGCCGCCGCGCATCAGAAAAATAGGTTGTACTTTACATCACCACCGATATTCCTGATGTGTGGCTGGATGAGCATGGCCATGGCCAGCAAGATATTCCTGATGTGCGGCTGAATGAGCATGGCCAGCAATGTCTTTGTGATGACTCACCTTTCTTTGCTAATTCTTTCCATCATTCATGTCAAACGGGAATCCCGTCGCTTTGGCAACAGCAGCGTGCTATGGTTGACTCAATCCTCTGTGATCATCCAAGAGTAGTTGACTACTACAATTTACAAAGGAGAGTGTTATAATATAATACTCCAATTTTGGTCATACGAATGGTCAATCCATCCCTATGATCTGGACAGGCCACGTCACCCTTACATGACTACTAGTAGTTGGAAGATACCAGTTGGGAATTGGAATTTCGATCTTATGTTTCATTGATTGCTAGAAACCACCGATATGATGCTAGTAACTACAGCAAGTGATAAAAATAGCATAAACTTTCCAACCTTTGAAATTAAAATTTCTTTACACTCTGGAAGGCTGGAAATAAAATTTCCATGCACGATGCAGCAATAGTTCCTATTACCAATTGACCTGAAAACAAACCCTTGGTTTGGCATGTCAAAAACTCAAAATGTGCCTGCCATATAACCCCTCCATTTCCCCTATAATGGTTTTCCATCTGGTGTATTGAGTATTGAGTCACACGTAATATTTTTATGTTTACAGTTATACCATTTATATCAGAGAAAACTCATTAACAAGTTCATCAACAAATTGCATGCTACCTCTGTAGGGACTTGTAGAGCACCACAGTTACATACTTCGACTGAAATCGATGCGTCAGACCGAGTGCCACCATAGGATGACCTGTATTCCCTTTCTGCACATACAGATGGTTAAGCACCACATGTTGTGGTCTTGACAAATAAGGGGAGCCTTCTGTGTACGACGATGGCACATTAAGCAGTGTCATCTGCAGGTGTGGAGGAACCAAAGGTGGTTCCTTTGCATAATCCTCTGAACCAAGATGCAGGTTGTCATAGCTGGAATCTGGTGACTGGGGAGGTTCAAAACCAGCAATGCTCTCAACATCTTCTGGCACATAATCCTGTACCAAATAACAGTCAAAATTCTTTTCTGAAACCCCAGTTTATGCCCAATTGTAAAATGTAGAAACAGTAAAAATACACTATATTTTGTTGCCTTTGCATTACAAATTCTGTTAGTATCAGAACTGCTATTAAAAAATATGAAAATGTTCTAGCGGTACAACTGTGTTTGCATAGAATCTCTATTTTTAGATCCACTCTCCCAGATCTACATGATAAGCATCTCCAAACTAATTATTGAAGGTCCCTCCAATCTAAACCAACTTTCATGCAGACACGTCCCAATGAACTAGCTATAATCAAACCATTTTGTTTCTTGACTAAGACATCATCTAATTTCAAAGTAACCAATCATGTTGACGGTTGAGGGAGGAGATGACTATAATATTAATAAATATAAATTCAGTCAACTTCTCTGCATGCTCTGTACCAAATTATCAGTTTATCTAAGTAGTTTCTGTATATATTATATATAATTTACATGAGAAAATGCATCTACCATTCAACACATATCAAGTTTCCATGTGTGCATAGAGTTGGGATTGAAGTTTCGTTCTTAGTAGCCATATCTGGCACCTGAACACACGTTAACATGTATGACCACATATGAATAACCTAAGCAATTATGATAACACCCATTTTTTTCTGCATAAAGCGCTATCCATCCAAGATTACCAAAATTATACAACTCACCGGACTAGCTTCCCATAAGTCCTCTGATATATACCAAGAGAAATTCATGTAAAAAACATTGTGTTACAGAATTCCAACACAAGCAAGCAGCACCACATGAGATTCCAACAAAGATGTTTTTTTCTTTTTTTTTTTTTTTTGAAAGCTGAATTTTATTAAGAAAAAAAAAAAAGGAATGACTGTACATGAGAGAATTATAATGATGTACAAGAAAGAACAGACACTAGGTTGCATCTTTTCCTTTGCATTGCAATATTGCTGCAAGGGTAGTCAATATACTTTCAAACACAAACACCCTTAATTAGAACTCAAGATTTCCATCTGCAATGCACTTTAAGAATTAAAGAATGACTCCCTCAAGTTTCTGATATTGCAGTTTGACCACTTGACAGACAGAAATCCTGGACACTGTTAACATGGAGACCAGATCAGCTACCCACACATACCAACAAGACACTACAGCCGCACATCGGGAACATCTCAGTTGCGTTGTAGGTAGCAGATCTGGACTCGTTAACATGCAAGATGATTTTACCAAATTGCCTCTTTCTTTTTTTTTTTTTTTAATTATAAGATTGCAGATTCCTGAGATAGATGCCTAAAACATCAAATTAAATCTTTGAAAATGAACTATTTAAACAGTACCTGTATTTCACATCCAATTATAGTAATAAACAACCTCTTTATTTTTTAATGACAGTTCCAAAGAAACATACATGTCAGGAAACATGTCCAACAAATGAATGTGGCAGAAATGCTTATGCTAGATGGGTGAGTGGAAAAACTAGAAAAGATGGAGTTAGAAATGAAGTTACTAAAAGGAACCTAAGAGTCACTCCAATAGGTGATAAAGTGAGAGGAAGTAGACTAACATGGTTTGGTCACATGCATAGAGACCATCTACAGCATCCATAAGAAGAAGCTATCTGTTGGTGTAGTAAGAAATGATTTAAACACTCATAATCTAACAATGGATATGGCACTGAACAGAACAGAATGGCGAAACAGGACTCATGTAGCCAATTCCATATAGTTGGGACAAGGCTTAGACAATAATGATGATGCTGAGTTCAAAAAGAAATAACATATTCATATTCCATAGGAGCAAGTCATAAAGATCAAGAAATAGACCTATCTGATTTGTCCATTCTTAATATCCAATGATAATCATTTTTTTTGAGAAAAGTTAATCAATATAATCATCTTAGGGTGATCCTTTGTCAAAAGTCCAGCAACGAATTTTTGAACAAGCCCTACTAGGAACTCTGAATAGTTATTTGACCAGCAAGTTACACTGAGCCAGTTAGTCTCAGCAATCAGGTTCGATTACAAGATTTAAGAAATGATTGGAACACCCCAAGTGATCTACCGGATACCCAAGTTCTGTGCAGAAAACTAGTCATCAACCTAAGACATCAAGGTGTGTGCAAGCAGTTTATATTTGATTTAGGATGTCCAATTGATGTTTAAACATTTTATCAATGAAAGCATCTAAATAGTGCATACCTAGGTGCTTCCGTTAATCTGTGACTTTTAAGTGATATACCATAATTCAACAGGATCTGAGCTATTCGAGTAGTCTCCTGGTTTCATAGAGAGCAGTCCAATTTGTCTTCCCATTGTGTCATAGACAATGCATCGTCATTACCCATGCCTTATCCCAACTATATGGGGTCGGCTACATGAATCCCGTTTCCATCAGATCAACACACTAGTTTGCTTTAACATAAAAATAATATGATGAGCTCTCAAACTTAAAAATGAACAGGATATACTTGGTAGAACTGATAATATTGAATCTTTCTGCCACTTTTACAAAGTCAAATCACCACCCTTAATGCGCAATAGTCTTAACTGTTTATGTTTACCTTTAATATTTTAAAAATAATCCTGTATGTGCCTTTATATTGCTATATAAAAATTAGTTGTTTAAGAATATATGACAGCACATGCTTGAGTGAGGGTATATATAGTAGAAACAAATCCTAAAATAAGAGAGAAACAGTTGAATTCCCTTAGGTCTTCCTCCAATCAGTCATATGCCAGTATGCCTTGTCATAAACAAGGGGACAACATTATAAAGCCAAGGTTATATGCTCTTCTACGAAAAGACTGACACTCCCTACCTCATGCCTATGATATTCACTTCATACAATGCACACCCAAAATGACACCACAAACCTTACATTTTTGTATCAGTACTTTATGAATACTTCTGGATTATAGAGTATTATCACTTTTAAAATATGTAAATGTTATGTTTAAAAAGCTTTATTAAATTTAGCAAGCAAGATATAAGTATTGAGAACTGAAACTTAGTTTCAAAAACTAGATATAAAATAATGATTTAAGAATAATAAATGGGATATGCAAACCCATGTCCATGTTCAGGATCTTTGGAATGGAGAGCTGTATCCCTGTTTACTACATCTTCCCGTGTCATTATCCATTTTTAGGCATCCTAGCGTCTTGCCTGTCAGCCTTCTCTTTTATGCTTACAAAATAGAAACCATGTACTATACATTCTTTGGCATATCTTTTATTGCATATTTACAGTCTTTATTAACTTATTTATGAGATTGCACCATTACCTTAAATCTAGAATGTATCTTTTTTTTTTTTTTGTGGTTGACTAGTCAGTGCCTAGACACCTACAAGCAGCTGCATTGCCTAGGGAGAAACAGGATTTTCAAAATGTTCAGGCAGTCATCTAATCGTTTTTTACAGGTTAATCGATGTGTTAGCTAAAGGAGGGGTTTCATCTATGTTTTATCAGCATACAACAAGGGATGAAGTGAATTGTCAAGAACCTTGGGTGTTATTTTGATTTTAAGATAGGTTCATTCTATAATTTACTCTTAAGTTTATTGATAACAAACAAAGGCCTTGGGCTGAATCCCAAAAAGAAATAGCAAAGGGTAAAGTGAAAAACTTAAGCTTTCAAATGGGACCCACATGACATATTTATAGATCCCCTATTGGTACAGCAGCCTCAGGTGCCACACATACATCCAATTTATCTTCAGTTTCTTCTGTGTTATAATATTGCTTGAATTAACTTCAAGTGAATCCGTTTATAAGGAGACCATAACTGTCATCTAATCCATGGCCAGACCCTGGTTATCCTTATCCTTGCCCTGCATGATATCAATTCATCCGCATACATCCTCTGATCCTCTCTATACTACATATTTTACATGAGAAGATTTACCCAATAAACATATTTCTTGGCAATTAAACAATCAAAAGAGGGATATTGAACTTTTTGTGGGGAAATTCTGAGACTTGTATTAATGTTTCACAATAACATAAAGGACATATATGAATGCCCAGAAGAATTATGATAAGAATTTTTTTTCTGTTTTGCAAAAAGCACCAAAGAAGATTATGAACTTTCACACTTCTCATACTATTCTATTCACTTGTAGAAAACAGAAATTAGCCATACTCTGAATAATGCTTATATGAACAAATAAATAGATAGGAAGTGAAGACATCTATCATGTCCAGATGTATGATATCTGAAACTGAAGGCAGAAGAATTTACCTGCAAGTCCAAAATGTTGTAAGCATTCCCAGTATCATCACGGACCCATGGCATGTCAGGAGAATACATCCACTGTCCATCAACAATAAACCTGTACTGGTAAACTCCTGATGGCAACACCTTCATGATAGTGAAGTCTTTGCCTGATCTCTGCAAGGGCTTTCTGAGGAAGGGGAAAATGTAGTTCCATATTTTATTTTGTACAAGAGTTACATTTTTAAGTTAGAATAGAACATAAAAGTGCAATGGTTTATGGTTCTATTATACCTCGTCCTCCAGTTATCCCAAGATCCTTCAACAGCTACTTCCTTGCCACCATAGCTCCAAGTGATCATTGTTGGTACCCCTTGCTCATAAAACATGTCCTCATACTCTGTGGCATTTTGCATCCCAATCGGATTTGGGATGCACATCCCATCAGGCCTTTGTAATGGAACCAGAGGGACCTGCGAAGAAATAAAGGATGCAGTAAATGTCTCCAGCTCTTTCTCTTAGGACAAAATTCACTGCAAATAAAATTAGCATGTATTACAGAAAAATATGTTGAGAACCACTATGTATATTAGATAGAAAGAATATACTGAAAATGGTGTCATTTGAAAAGCTCTACCTAACCGTTAGAGCCTGTGATACAGTTCCAGACCATTAGATTCCTGTGCTCCTTGTTGTTTTCATGGGTGATGCACACTACACACAGTTATGGTTCCAATACAGGACAATTCACCCAACAACATTGACTAGAACCAAACCATTCTCTCTATGCAATTAAGCATCTTAAATCTTAAATCAACTTGATATTACTGTATCCTACTCATGTTAACAAAACATAATTCCACTTGGAATCCAATGGTCCAGCACTGGAATTTATGAGTCTATCAATTCACTCAAACTTCTCAAATCATTTTCCTAACAAAAATAGTGACCAGGTTCTCACTTATGTGTCAATTAACTAGATAATAAGTTAACTATACAGAAACCAGAAAAAAGGCATCTCCTATCAGAAAGTCATTTCCTCAAATATAACAATGTCCCTGTTTTATATTGGAATTGTGCAAATTTATCTCTTGGTACAATAAGCTTTCTGTGTCCGAGTGAGCATTATGTCTCCTGGGACTGAAAAATAAAACCAACTATCCATGTTGAACTTTCTATAAGACATCCTTTAAGAACTTTTGCGAGCAACTATCAAGAAAAACTTAAACTTCCTTGTTTGCACATTTTGTCAAACGATTAACATATAATTTGGATTTATTAAATACTTCACTACATATATTCTCCTAGTCGAATTCACGAAATGAAGGCAAAAGAAATGGTGACAGCAGTTACAGTTTCAAGGTGTTTGGATTCACAGCAATTACAATTCCGTTCCTTCAAACAACAAAGAAAAGGATCAAAGGAATAAAACAAAGATTTTTTTTTGCTTTAAAGTTTAATAAAATTCTAGAAAAAAATAAAAGGTAACTCTAATAGCAGAAAGAAAGAACAAAAACACACAGACATATATACATAATATAGTGAAAGAAAAATCAAAAGGCAGAATTTTTACCTCTTTGAACCCAGATCCATGAAATTAAAATTACAAGTAGAAAAAGAGCTGAACACATGAACTCACAAACTATCAAAAAAATAAAAAAAAAATAAAATCTGAAAGAAAAGAAACCGACCTGTGGAGTGAACATTAAAGGTGACGGGACTGCCCGAGGGCTATGAGGAGGAGATTGACCCATCAACTCTGTAGACATCCCATGAGCATGATAGCCAACGTGCGCCTCTCCGTGCGAAGATTCCATGTTTTGTGCGCCTTCACCAACTCCAACTCCAGATGGGTTACCCCCATCTTCTCTAACACTAACATTACCCATTAAATAAAAGAAAACCCACTTTCTACTCAGACTTACTTCTCAGAAGCCGACTGCACGAAGACCCAAAAAACTATTTGTTAACTAAAGATCAAGAACAATCACCAAGCAGACAAATGGTCTCACTACTTAAAGTCTCTTATTCCCCCCTCCCCTCACTTGAAATCTTCCTTTCTCGTGAAGAAACTTGATCTGCTCTGCTCAGACACCCATTCTAATTTTCTATCTATATATGAGCTTTCTTTTTTTTGTAAACATTTATATATAAGTTAAGTTGCAGAAAACCAGAGAAGGAAAACCCAGAAATAACTGAAGAATAGTTAACGCGATGCAGCAATATTTTTACAATTTGCAACGCCAATGATAATTAGAAAGAGCGTTTTGTCTTGTTTTTCTTTCCATTTTCTCTTCTCTTTTGGGTAGCGATTCAATGAGTCTCCATCGCAAGAGGAGACCCTTTTAACCATTGGATTCGTGTCTGATGGAATTGGTGACAAGCCAAGGTGGGGTATGGTTAATCGGAATTCAATGAATTTCGATTCTACGCGTTAGGAAGAAGCCTGCGTTATATGATGAGGTCTCACTAAATCAAAACCTTTCTTTTTCTCTTCAACTTTATTTTTCTTCTCTCGTGGATGTTCTTTTCCTTTGTTTTTACAACAACGACAAAACACATTGTCATATACCAAATTAAAATACAAATAAAATATAAGTTAGTTTTATTCTCCAATGAATTAGGAAGATGGCGGTGGCAGTTGTTTTCATCATGATGTGCTCCTGTTAACCAACCTGTTACATTTTCTACAGTAGTAAGTTTCCCTTCCTTCCACCTACCGCCAAATTCTTACATTATTTTGCTTTGTGCACCGCATGTTGATTTTTCTTTTGGGTAAATTATAAAGTCCCCGTAAAGACCCTGTACTTTGTTTTAGATGACGGAATGCATTAAATTATCAAAATATCTTATTAAATTTTTTCTATTTTCTTTTATTTTTTTATCTTAAAATCTACTTAACTTATTATTCTTTCTTTCTTTCTTTTCCTCTCCCTCACCGCCATGAGGAGAACTAGAGGATGGATACGACCCTTCAGTTCAACACCTCATAACTCGGAAAACTATGCCTCCTCTATCCCTTATTTTCTCTCCTCAGAACAATAGGGGAAGACACCGAAAGAGTGAATGACTGTACATATGTGCCATGATTTAATTGGATTGCTTAGGAGCTCTGCTGCTAGATACCCAATGCTTAATTGTGTTCTTCTTTTCCCTATTTTCTGCTTTATCTACTTTTCTTGTATATTCAATTTCCAAATATAGTGTGGAAATGTATTCCGTCTACTAATCAACGAAACATTATTGATAAAAAAATTCTATAGTATTAATTCCTCCTTAGTTCCCATCGATGGGATTGAAGACAAAACACAAGAAATCGACGCCGGCTATTTTGTTTCTTCGGTACTCCGATATGACCTTGATTCTTTCTCAAAACCTCTTTAATCATCAACACTATGACGGTTATGATGGTGGGAGTGGTTATAGAGAAAGTTGTTATACGGGGAGTTGCATTGGTCTTATGAGCCGAATATCAGGGTATGACCCTTGTAACCAAGCGTGCTTAGGATCAGAATCCGATCTGGTGGTCGGTCAAATGGCTGAAGATGACTCCAGAACCAGTAGTCTCAACGAAGCCAGCTCCAACTCCAAGGAATTGCATTGCAATTCAAAATAGAATTAAAGAAAACAACCAAGGTCCTAGAATGCAGAGGCCATATGGAAGCAAAAATGGGAAAAACAAGGGTAGTGTGAGGATTAAAAAATATTATAACGGCCTTTTCGGGCAAAAAACTAAGGGAATGGGGTCTTTGTCTCACCGTCATAGTAAAGAGAGCCTTTATCACAAAACAAAGTACAGGGGATCTTTAGTACGGGGGGTCTTTATAATATACCCCATTTTTTTAAAGGAACCGCAAAAAATACTATGTATACATAATTATCCCCGCAAAAAAGTATTGGTAGCCTGGAGAGAATAGGATGCAAAAACATAAGATCTGCGAAGTCTTGCTAGTTTAGCTATATCATGAGCTTTAGCGACTACAGGTCTATGAACATATTATCAGTCTTATAGTAACAAAAAAGGATAGCATATATTTGATGTGTGCTTGAATAGCTTGAATATCCCCGCTAATGTTTCCTTCGTTCCTTTAAGGACAAAAGAGCAGCTTTGGCATCTGAAAGGAGAGTTGCTTTTGTGATGTCTTGATTCAGCAGGTATCTGAGACCTCTAATGATCGCCCACATCTCAGCTACTATTAGGGAAGAGGCCATGCATGATTGTCCTTCTGCAAAAGAGCGATTAAGAGTGTAAGATACAAAGAATAGCCCTGTAGTGGCATCCTTGGTGCACGAATCCCGGGATCCATCTACCAGTATAATGTCTTCGTGCGTATTGTCCAGATTAGAGAGATCCAAGAGGGGCTCTTGAATTGGAACTTGCTGGATGTTTAGACTCGAAGGCTGCAGTTTGTAGTATGGATTGGCTCGTCTGAGAACAACTGATGGGACTGTATTCTCATTGTTGAAGATTGTGGCATTTCTGGTGTCCCAGATAGCATGGAAGATGGTTATGATGTGAGCCGGAAATACCTTTCGATCTTCTTTCGCTACTACCTTCCCATTGTAGTTGCTCCACCAAGTTAGAACATCACTGGATCTTGAAATTAGGAAGGCTTTAGGGTTAAAACCAACTTGGGCTTGTAACCAGACTGCTCTTGTGAATGGGCATTGCAGAAAGAGATGGGTTTGAGTTTCTACTTTGTCTCCACAGAAGGAACATTGGACTTCATTGCTTCTGATGGCGCTCCATGTGTTTGATTTGGTTTTGATTGCATTACGTAGGAATTTCCACATAAATAGTTGACACCGAAAGGGAGTTTTGTTTGACCAGATCTTCGTCCATTTAATTTCAGTTGAATCAATTTGCTCACCATCTTGTAAGAAAGCCGAGTAGGCTGACTTTAATATGAAATCCCCATTGCTCGAGACCAACCAGAGTAGTCGGTCCTCAGAGGCAAGACTGTTAAATGTGGATGCTTTGTATGGCTTCTACTATTACTGGCTTAAACTGTTAGACAGTTTTGTATGCCCTTAGCTTCAATCATAATGATGTACTTTATGAGTTTATTGTAAATGAATAAAGATACATATTTGATTCATGTCCCCTTGGTATGTTTCTGTGTAATACCCTTAAACTGGACACTTAGTGAGACTCGTGTTAGTTTAGAATGTTCACAGC